GGATGTGGATTTTGTGATCAATGAAACGGTGGGCGGGGGCAGTAGGATGAGCGAATAAGCTGCTATATCAGAGAAGAATAATGGCAATAGGTTCGGGAAAGGAGCTCGGAATTTCTGAGACTATTGAGTCCCCCACCTTGGGCTCGGGCAAAGAGTCTTCTACGGGAATCGTTTGCAGTTCAAAAAAGTTATGAACCTTCGCACTATGAATCAAAGCTTGAAACTAATGAAGAGATATCAAACTCGGTATAGTAGCCAAGTCACCGCAAAGAACCACAGGTTTACCTTCCCAACAAAATTCCATGGACAGGGTTGAAGAAATCATGAGAAACACGGCCAAGTCGTTGGAGCCATTGAATGCTGAGAACGACATCCAGTCCTTCAATCGGTAAGACAGAGATCCAAGAGAAAGACAACCCTGCATAGTCAAAGCAACATGAGGACAGTAGAATTGGCAAACTAAGAAATCACCATTGCCAATGTCGACACGGAATGTGGCTGTAGGTTGAATGGGCAGGCCTAAACGTTCAGCCAAAGTAGGTTTGATGAAATTGTGTGTACTCCCACTATCAATGAGGACGTGAAAACAGTGGTTGCCAAGCTCGCCAATCAAACAAAGAGAGCGAGGATTAACCTGCCCTGCCAAATCATTCAAGCTGGAAATATCAGCAGTAACAACGTCCTCAACCTGCTCTGTGGGCAGAGGGTCATCAGAGTGGTCAAAATCCTCATCATCAGTGCCTAAGAGAATAAGGAACTTACTACGGCAACGATGGTTGGTGCTACATTTTTTGGAAGGTCATCAGAGTGGTCAAAATCCTCATCATCAGTGCCCAAGAGAATAAGGAACTTACTACGGCAACGATGGTTGGTGCTACATTTTTTATCACAATTATAGCACAGTCCTTTTGCTCATTTCTCCCGTAGTTCGGCCGGAGTGAGGCGACGAATCGGCAAGTTTGGTGTGGGTTAGAGGGGAGGTAAGGACGATGGTTTAGGGGCAGGTGGAATGGTTGGGGAAGGGGGTTTGGAGGAGCTGTAGGGGGAGATGATGAGGAGGGGAATAGGATGGAGGGGGAGTCGATTAAAAGGAAGAAGGAGTCCATTTGGGCTAGGAGCGTTTACTGGTTTTAGCCTCCTTAGACCGAGCTTCATAAGCCCGAGCTAGAGCAAAAGCTTCCATTAGGGAAGTGGGTCGAGAGAACAACAACTCACGATGAATATCCAATTTTAAACCCGTCATAAAGAAACTAATTAATAACGATTCTGAGATTCCAGTAACTTTGTTCATCAAATCCTCAAAAGCAGATTGAAAGTCCGCAACCGTAGTAGTCTGAGTTAATTTAGAGAGATTATCTTGATGGTCCTCATACATCGAGGCACCAAAGTGGTGTTTGAGGTTGGCTAAGAAATCTTGCCAAGTGGTCAGCAAATTGTTGGCCTTCATCCATTGATACTAGTGGGCAGCTCGGCCTTCCATATGAAAGACATGATGCGAAGGCGTAGAGTATCATGTGTGCCATGAAAGTCAAAAAACTCCTTAATGCGGAAAACCCATCCATTAGGATCGGACCCATCGAACTTCATAACTTCCATTTTCATGGAATGGAACACCGGAGAGAACTCAGTACCACCGGGAAACACCTCCGATGTTGGATGCACCTTGGAATGTTGACTCGAAAACCCAAAGGAAGCGCCTGGAGAACCATGAATATGATAGTGTAAATCCTCGAGACGAGAATCTACCGTGGTCATATATTGCTGCATAGTCTGATGAAGAGACATAGTTTGACCCTCAAATTGAGCCTGTAGAGCCTTCACTGCAGCCAACACATCCAAATCTGCCATGAATAACGCAATGAAAGCACCAATGATACGACTAACCTGCAATCAATAGCAAGATTAGAAGTGAAATAACACTCTTCGAACGAGTGCCAGCTCCAAGACCAGAACAATTAGAGATCGAAAAAATAGAAGAGAAACAGATATCAAAGTGAGGGAAGAATAGAGAATAAGAAGAGAAGGGAAAATAATTCTATTGATTCATTAATTTATCATCTTCTTCCCAAAACCGTTTATATATGCCTCACCTTGATAATCTCAGAATGGAAGGCCAAAAGGAACCGCCTAACATAAAGTAGTTATAAACAAAAATTGATTAAAAAAATGATGACAGAGTATAAAAGAACTTTTGTCACTCCCGAGGTCTTTTCCTTTAGGAAAATCCATTCTTTAAATGACACAGGAGTAGGAGTTCTTCTTTTACAGCGAAACTCAGAAAAAATTTAAATTTGAGTTACAATTTTATTTGAATTCATATTCTTTTATAAAATTCGAGTTTGAACTCAAGTTTAAACTCAAGTTTGGGGCTAAACTCGAGTTCAAATTTTTCCATCAACTCGAGTTCATAAACTTGAATTCAAGTTAATGAACAATATTTTTTTTATTCTTAAAAATGTCATAACTTTTTCGTTTTAATTTTGATTTGGATGGTTTTTTTTTCTATGCAGTCACAACGAAAAGAATAATAAAACCCAACTCATATACCCTATTAAAATTTTTCATCACCATTGAGTTTTTATCAAAATACTATCTAAATACAAATTTAAGTTTTGACTCACCCATACACAAACTCAAAAAGATTCTCAATTCAAAACATAACTCGGGCCCCGTTCATTTCACCGATTCGAGTTTAGAATTTGAGTTTTGTTACAAAGCTCTCAGAAACAGTCACATCTAATTTTTTTACTACAGTAAAAAGCTCTCACATAAAGTCACATTTTAACTCGAATTAAAAACTCAAATCAGCAAACTAAATGGGCCCCAAATGTGCACATTCAAATACAAACTCAAATTACAACCTCAATTCAAGTTATAACTAAAACTCAACTTAAGATTATAATTCAAATTATCCTTACTCAAAAATGTAAAAGAACAACCCCATAATCGTCTAGCCACGCTGGTGGTTTCTTGATTCACATTGGGCCTTTGGTGGGCTGATCTGTGGGCTGGGCTATCTCCGTTTCCGTAGAGGGCCCAAGTTCTGTTTCGGGTAGCTCCTCTTGCTGAACTTCGGGCTGCAGCAGTGAAATGGGCATGGATGTATCAATCAGTTTTTTTTTTTTTTTTTTTTTTTTTTTTTCACTTCAAAGCTTCAGGTCAAAGCCGGTAACAATCAAGTGTGCAAACGTCTTCAATTGGTAAAACAAATGATGGGGTCCATAGCTAATCCAACAAACCTTTCTTCGCGAAATTAATTCCTAATTCTCTCCCTTTCCTTAATCTTTCCCAAGGCTAAGATGCCCAAATATGCATTTTTCCCTTATCTTCAAAAATGAAGGCTCAAGCCTGGTATAATAGCCTACCTCTTCACTCTACAATTGAAGCCCAATACAGTGTCCTTCCGGAAATCTCGGCCCCTTTGTCTATCTCAATCACACACATTCCAAAATGGGTAAATGGGGAAACATATTTTAGATGGAGATTAGAAATAAGTAGCATTAATATAGATTAAAGAGAGTAAATAGTCAATTTCGGGGAGTAGTAAGAAAATTGTATTACCTTTAAAAAAAATTGTATTTTTTTGGTAAGTTGATAAATTAAGAATATCCTTGTTAATTAAATATAGTATATACCAAGTAAATATAACTTTTCCAAAAATTTGGGAATTTTAGTGTGATGAAAATCTCAAATCGTTTCTCTTACAATTTCTTCATATAAAATTAATACAAAAGTTTAAGCCCAAAAATTAGGACATTACAATTCCCTATATAAAAGTTTTTTCCCCGAAACTTAAAATAAAACTGAAAAATTCTTTCTCATATCCGCTTCTAACTCCCAAGTCACTTCTTCGACTACATGATTCCTCTAAATGACCTTCACAAGTTCAGCTATTTATTAGGCCCTTTTTTAATTTGCCTAAAAAATGATTAAACGAAAAAGTAATAATTATGTGACCAGCTTTGGCTAATAATTAGAGTGTAAATGACTAAAAAACAAAACAAAAGAAAACCACAAATTACAGTTAATATTCTTGAGCCCCCTCATTACATGAATATAAGCGAAAGACAAAAGCTACCTTGGCCTATTTTCCTCAGCAAAAAGGTTTTTCCTTGGTTGTTAAAAGCCACTTTATCAAAATTCTATGAAGGCAACACACGGAATAAAGCTCAAAATCTGCCTTGGGGACTTTCCAATAGCATATATTTTTAAGGCCGTTTAGTTCGTTGATTCGAATTTTTAATTTGAATTGAAATGTGATTTTATGTGAGCTTTTTACTGTAACAAAAAAGTTAGATGTGATTGTTTGTGAGAGTTTTTTACTGTAGAACTCGAATTAACGAAATGAACGGAAGCATTATGGGCACAATTAGTCCTAAACTTTGAGGGCATGTTCTTTTGTCCAAAAAAAAAAACTTAAAAAAAGACAACTTGAGTTCCAACTTTATTCAAGTTCACATTCTTTTAAGTTTTAACTTTATTCAACTTTACTCAACTTTATTCAAGTTACAACTTCAACTCAAGTTATAACTCAAATTCAACTCAAAAATTACACTCAAATTACACTCCAAAAAAACAACCCTAAGTATAGTGACATTTTAATGGCTCAACTTTAACTTTTAGCTTATTAGTCATTGAATTTCGGACTATTTGGAATAGAAAATGAAAATGTTATGGTAGAAAGAAACAAAGGAACACAAGCTAAATGGCACATTTGAAAACTTGCATTAGAAGATGATGCTCTTAAACATATGTCCCACAACTGCGCAAGAGATTGGAAGCAAAATATTTGGCTTGTCTATTTCCTAGAAGCAGGTGCCAAATTGTCATCCTATGGTTAGTGTCTACTATACACAGCTTGCATAATGACAAAATGGAAAAAAAAAAAAAAAAAAAAAAAAAAAAAAAAAAAAAAAAAAAAGAAAAAATAAAAAAGGAAAACTTCAAAAGCGGCGGGGCGGTTCTTGTGAATTCCTTGTTTTTGTCTATTTAAAAAAAAAGAGAGAATAAAAATGGAAAACTTCAAAATCGGCGGGAATCTGGTTCGGAGCCTGCATCCGACGACTCTTCTTCCTCTGGCTGCCTCTGACTAGCAAAAGGCGGTGGCGGGGGATCAACACTCAATGTACCCTCCAAGACCTTTACTACTTCTCTCACAGAAGGTCTCATACGCTCGTCCACTTGGAGACACCAAAACGCGATTCTCAACACTCGGTCAAGCTCTCCCAAGTCTACCCCGCCGTTGATCCTTCTGTCTACTACACTCGGAGCATTTCCCTCCATCCACTCCTTGTAAACCCAATGAGAGAGGTCTTCATCTCCTTTGCTCCCACTCACAATTGTTAGTACCATCTTTCCATAATCTTCTACATCCCTTTCTGCAGAAGAGGCAGAGCTTGACGTCGTTTCAGTGATCACTCTGTGAAGCCCAAATTCCGTCACCTTGGCCTCAAATTTCTCATCCAAGACCACATTTTCACACTTCAAATTCCCATGGCTAACAAACTCCCGGCACCCCGTATGAAGATAACAAATAGCCCTTGCCACGCTCAAGCATATCTCAACTCTCTTTCCCCAAGTCAGTTTCTTACACAACTTAGGATCTTCTATGTATTTCTGTATAGAACCATTCTCAGCATATTCATATATCAAAAACCTATGGTTTAACTCGCAACAGTAGCCTTCCAGCTTAATAAGGTTCTTGTGATAAATGCTTCCTAACTTCGAAACAGCAACTCGATATTTCCTTTCCTCTATGGTTGATTTCATGTCTTTGACTGCAACAGGCTGGTTGTTTGGAAGCATGCCTTTGAACATTGTGGGACCGATCTGGTGCTCTAAGTTCCCAGTGACATCCTTAATTTCCGAGAAGGATAACACGATCAAACCGTTTGTGTTTGCTCCTGCATACCCTAAGGAAGCTTTCCTCCTTAGTGATATTCTTCTTCTTCTAAAGATAAGGAAAAGAACTACCATCTGAACCATAATGAATAAAACAGATGTTCCTGAAACTGCTCCCAATAGACAAGGAACACAAAGCTCGAAAGGACCTTTATGTTTAGTATCTCGAGAGGATGTCACAATGCTGGGATTGACAGCCATTGGATCAGAACACTTCTTGACAAAAGATACTGAACTCAGAGAAGGATCGGCATAGCCACTCAGATATGGCGTTTTCTTTAGCAAGCACCGAGCAGTTCCATCATTGGTGAAGGTCGCAGCTGTACAAAGCCGGTCATTCAGGCACAAGCTTTCGCACTCCTGTGAACTAATCCCCGATACCAGGTCATCGTTCGGAGGATACATCCCGTACAAAAACATGTGCTGGTAATTGAGCATGTTAGAGCCAGATTTGCACAGCTGTGGAGTTGGAATCAAACACCTTGGTATGGACTCATTTGTAAGCCTAAATGGGCATTTGCAGACAGGGGATGCTGATTCTGTAAAGACACAAATGCCGTGCTGGCCACAAGTTGCGAAAACATTGCACTGATTCTCAACAGCTTGCCAGACCGTTCTCCATGACCGTGAAGCTTCTGACCAAGAATATAGTCTCATATTACCATCAACATCCAGCCTAAGATATCGGAAACGAATTGAATCGTTGTGATCTTCTCCAAACACCGACCATATAGGTTTCCATCTCTGGTCTCGGATCTGTAGTGCCCCATTAGACATGAGAAGAGCCGTGACATTAGAACTAGAAGGGCTTCTACTTGTCCAGAAAGTGACATGACTATCCCACCTTAGCTGCAATTGACCCGAAGCATTCATAAATAGAGAGTAGTAACTGGACATGGAATTCCTGCTCGCAGCTCGAAGCGTATGAAGCACAGAAAAGTTCTGCCCCGGAAGAAGCGTGTCTGAAGGAAGATCGAAACTTTGCCAAACTACATTTTTCTTCTCAGTGAACAGAACAAAATTTCCATTGTCCTGAACAGCAGCTGATGCAACAGACAATAGACTGGTTTTACTGGTCCACACAGTGACACCCTTCAATGAATCAACCAAAACCATATCTCCATCATTCTTAATCTGAAAATAAGAACTATCACCAACAGTCAGATCAGCTCCCACAACCCAAACAACATCTTGTTTATCCACCGGGATCAATTTCGAATTGAATCGGATGCCAACACTGTACTGGTTTGGCTGGTCCGAAATGTTGAAGAATCCGAATGCAAAATAACTATTGGGGGAGACCCAAAAGTTGTTTTCAGAAACAGAAAGTTTAGAGCCCAAAGGAATCTGTGAAACAACAGAATGCCACAACAACCCAACATAGAGACATAGCACAAAAGGCCATTTAAGGAGATATCCATTCTGTTGTTCAAGCATATCTGAATATGCTTTGGGGAGGAACAAAAACAGGAAATTAGAATAATAACCGACTCTTAAACCATATAGACATAACAAATTAACTGAATTTGAACCTTGATGTTATACAATGAAAAGGGCAAAAGCTTAAAATGACATGTTTTAAGACTGGCATTTGACTAATCAGTAAGTACATGACAGAGGAAAAGAGAGCTAAAATTTCAGACTTTTATATTGGTAAATGAAAAGAGAGATAAAGTTTTACAAAAGTCCCAAACTAATACAATATGAAACTTAATAGTCAGAATTTTGTACCTGAAAAAGATGGTCAAAACCCCCGATGTTCAAGAAGCCCGCGTAGAATGCCACCACAAAGACCATATCAAAAATATCATATCCTTATTTTTTGGGCACATGATAGGAAAAAAAAATGACAAATTGAGAGTGAAAATTTTGAACGATTTGTAGGATATGACCTAGAGGGGAAAAAAATGGAAAACTTGGTGGATGTGAATGAGCTGTAAAGGAATAGAGAAAAAAATGGGATTTTTTTTTTTTTATGAGAAAGTGGGTGTTGAATGAAAACTTGGGGAAGAAAAATGGGACCCAAAATTAAGGCCAACGGATACGTAGTTTGGGCAAGGCAATCACTTTCAGGGTTAAAAAAATAGAAAACCCTGTCAAATGATATGGCAACAACCCAGCTTTAAGGATTAAATAAGCAGATAAATGAAGAAAAAATTTCAAATTTTCAATAAAAACAATAAATGCAAAAAAAAAAAAAAAAGATACTCATTTATGGAATAAGCTTCATCAATGGATACAAACCCGAGAATTTCCCCAAACTTAAGGAAAATCAAACTGGGCAACTTTCTGATTCAAACTAAGAATACAGTAAAACCCAAAACCATAATCTGAAAATCTGATGACTCTGAACTAAATTGGAGCTTCATGTGTAAAGCTTGAAGGGAAATGTTCATTTCTTTTTCCTTTCCTTTTCTGGGGAAGCTTTTCAAGGGGCTTTTTTTTCCTGAGAAACAAACAGGTTAGGGCATGTAAAAGTAAAGATAGACACTTGAACACTGGAAAAAACTGAAATGGATTTTCTTAGTGGTCCTGAAACTGAAGAAACGTATCTGGGTTTTAAGAAAAAGTTGGAATCTTAAAAGCTTTTAAGAAGAACAGAAGGGGGGGAAAAAAACTGTGTTTGAGTACAAATGGGTACGAGAAAAAGAAGCAAAAGAAGAAGAAAATCTGAAAGAAAGAGCAAAATGTAAGAGAAAGCTGAAAGAGAAGAGAAGAGAATGAATGGCAGTGTGTGAAAGCAAGCTCTGTGAAGAACAATAAGAGAAATAGTAGTATTTTGGTCAGTGACTACTGACCAGAGAGATTTTATTTTTAATTCCTTTCCTATTTTGGTTTGTGTTTTATTACAAGTGTTTTTCAATTTTTCATTTCTTTCTTTTATTTCTTTTTTTTTTTTGAAAACAAATGATAATTGGGTACGGTTCATACAGTTAGAAAATTTGAGATCCAAGAAGAATGCGACAAAACATTCCAGTCTCCCACGTAAACTCCCACTTCAATGTTTTTTTTTTTCTTAAATGAAGCAAAAAAAAAAATTGTTATTTTTTCTTATTAACAAAAAAAAAAATGTTTTTTTCTGCTTTTTTTTCATTTTTTGAATTATTTTCATAAATATCCTTAAATTATGTATTACATTTTAAAGTGTCTGAACGTTTAGTTCATGAATTTACGATCATGATTCAGAGTTATTTTTTATTTTTATATATATTTTGTGTAAAAAAATATTGTAACGAATTATGAACCATAATTTAAATCATGACATAAATACACTAACTAAACACACCCGTATAGTTTGCTTATTCGAGTTTTTAATTCGAGTTGAGATGTGACTTTATGTGAGAATTTTTTATTATAGCAAAAAAGTTAGATGTGACTGTTTTTTAGAGTTTTTTACTGTAATAAAATTCAAATTCTAAACTCAAATTGATAAAATAAATGAGATTAATTTTTTAAAACGATTCGAAACACCCCTCACGTATAGAAAATAGATTATTGCCCCTCTGTCCAATTCCGTCTATAAATTTAAGAGAACGCTGCCGTCACATGAAATTCAAAGTGTAGGAATATAAAAAGTCCAAAATACCCTCTAATTAGTTAACCACAAAATAGAAACTAAAAATAGAATTATAAAATATTTCATAAATATTCTTAAGTTGTCGGAATCCGAAAAACACAAAAAAAATATAAGGGCTTATTCATTTTCATTTTTTGAATTAGAGTGACTTAAGTTTAGATTTTAATTTGAATTAAAGTATATTTAAGTATGATTTGAGTTGAGTCTCTAATTTGAGTTTATATTTAGATGGGCACATTTTGAGTTATGATTTGATTTGAGAAATTTGAGTTTATATTTAGGTGGGTCAAAACTTGAATTTATATTTAAATAGTATTTTAATAAAAACTCAATGGTAATGAAAAATTTTAATAGAGTATATGGGTAGAGTTTTATTCGTCTTTTCGTTGTGAACGCATAAAAAATCATTTCAATCGAAATTAAAACGAAAAAGTTACGGCGTTTTTAATAATAGAAAAAATATTGTTCATTAACTTGAATTTGAGTTTAAAAACTTAAGTTAAAGAAAAAATTTAAGCTTAAATTTTAATCCCAAACTCAAATTAAAACTCAAGTTTAAATTTAACTTTTACAAAAGAACATAAACTTAAATAAAGTTATAACTGGAGTTCAAATTTTTTTTTTTATTTCAACATTTTCCTCAAATTTTTTTCAGATCTCCCTCCCGTCCGTCACCTCTTGCTTGCCGGCGCCTCCCATGTCGCTTGCTCACCGCCCCGCTCTTCCCCTCTCTCCACCCTATCAACGCAAAACCTGACCAATCGCAGCGCTCCCGGTGAGGAAGAAGCTCCCACACGCGATCTCCAGTCTTCTTCGGCTTCGGCGAGGCTTTCAGATCCAAACTCGTACCGAGCATCCATAGAACGGCACACTCCGGCCTCATCGATGGCGGTTTGATTGGCGCTCTAGGCATGTGACATTTGCTACATATCTGGGATCTACACTGTGGATCTGGTGCGACCAAAAATGCTGGTTTCACGTCACCTTCAACGCCCATCGAAACTATTGGCTTATGTTCAATCTCTTTACTGGGATTCCAATAGTTGATTTTGATGAAATTCCGTCTTGAATGAAATGACTTGGTTTTAGTTTTGTTTCTCTTTTAAGATTCTTGATTGTTGATGTGATTTAGAAACTTTGTCCCAAAAAAGAAAAAGATTTCGGAGCTTTGTTTTAGAGGAATATGAATAGATGCACTTGAAAGAAGCAAGAATAGAACTTGTTTATGTTTGATCATATCTCTAGATTTGATCCTATGTTCATGATCTTAGATAGTAGCAGCAACAGTATGAATTTTTTTAAATTTATCTCTTTTATTTTTTGTTTTGTTTGTTTTTAATTAGTCTTTAAATTTTATTTGATTTTTGTGATTTTAGATTAAGGTTAATAGGTTTGTAAATTAATAATTAAGGTTTATATTCTAAAATGCCTTTCTTACACTTTAATTGACATGTCAAGTCAGCATTTGTTAAAATTGTAAATGGAACTAGAATGAGGGATCAATTTGATCTATTTTTTATATATCAAAGAGTGTTTTGAATCGTTTTAAAAAATTAAGAACACTTTAAAACAAGATACATAATTCATGAACATTTATGAAAATAATTCTTGTTTTTTCTTTTTATTCCTACAAATAGTTCTCAAACTTTATCTTTTCCTTTTTAGCTTTTAAAACGTTCTAACTTAGCCTCATTTATCACTTTATTTCAGTTTTAGTTCCTTATTTAAATTAAGTAATAAAAAGATGATATACACGTAATATTGATAAAAATAACACTGATTTTGACGAAAAGTAATATTCTGCCTAGAGAAATTTATCTATACTTCATAATGTTTTAACATTTATAGTATGTTTAATTACTAGGATTGAGAAAAGGGAGTTAAAAATGAGAATCAATCTCATATTTATTTGTTCTTTTTTATCTTAGAATGAGAGTGAAATTGATGGGCTCTACTCAAATTTAAAATTAAGGAATGAGATTGGTACTCTCATGCCCCCTTAAGATTGAAACTCTTATTCCTAATATTAACATTAAATTACTATCATACTCAAATTTTACTATAAATATACAATTCAAAATAAAATTCAAAAAATAATAATTACAACATATGTTTATTATTTTATTTGCCTAAAATTATTATATGAGCATAATTATTGTTAACGTTAATATAATAAATATGTACTTTATTTTTTAATAAATTATAATTAACATTATTTTTTTATTTTATTTATTTTATTTAAATTTTTAACAATTTATTTTTATATTTTAAATAATTGTATAATTTATATTTATTATTTTAATACACTATTATCATACTAAATATTTTAATTATGATTAATTTTAATATAATAAGTACACAATTTATTTTTTAAAACGAAAATATCAAATTGACTTAAAGGGTATATTAGTACTTTAACACTGTTTTATTTTAATTCTGGGTGTATGTAAACGCATAAATAGAATTTGGAGTGACTCGATTCTAAATCCTGTCACTAAGTAAACAACTTATTCTTTCAATTCCTGTCACGCCTCCGAACAGGAGTTAGTGACGTGGAGGCTTGCTTAGAAACTAAACCTGATTAAGAAAATGGTTAAACAATTAACATTTCAAAATTTGATTTCAAATCCCAAAACACTTAGGTATTTTCAAACAAGCCCAGCTATTTTAACGAAATCGAGTTTTAAGAAAAAGTGAGGCGGACTCTACAAAACGCAATCACTGTCAAGATCAACATCCAAAGTCAGCCTCCGGCGTCCACAAGGTTACAATTTGTGCATACATAAATAAATAAATAAAAGTAAGTAACGGATATCAACCACAATCTAGTTATGTTTAAGGCTTTACAATCCATAGTTAATACATGCCTTAATGAGTCTGGTAAAGATGGCAACTACTTCACCGCTTCCTTTCTTCTAGAACTGAATTCCTCACCTATTATGCGCTACTTCTAGCGTTGCCTGGGTGGGGTTAAATACATTTGAAACATAGAAAAATGAGCGAAAGGCCCAATAGGATAAGATTTATAAAACTGAATAAATAAGTAAGTAATAAAATGAAATACTAAGGCCTGAAATAATCAATCGGAACCAAACAACCTTTTTCTGAAAGGTAAAGAAACTGAAATTTCATATTACAGGCAACCAACAAGTAATTTAAGTAATTAAATTACTTACGACCAAAGCAAGGCCTTAACACCACCGTAGTGGCCCGTCTGGGTTTCGGGTTCTACCCCCAAGGATACGATCTCCATATCTTATCTAGGCCATCAACGGGCTTACCAATTCGCAAGGTATCTTATCTTAAGAAAATGTTTATTAAAAACTTGAAATCAGTCTATTATGAGATCAATAGCGAAAATCAAGCTATTGTTTTGAAATACTTTTCTTTATCAACATATCCTTATCTTTTGAAAACATTACTTGGTCAAAACACTTTAAAACAGGCTTACAATGATATGGGAAGAATATCCTATCTCTCGGATGTCAAACTTGTAGCTAACTTCTCGTCACCCTAACCTCCACTTTCCTTACAGCTTTAATACTTAACCTTCTCCACTAGCTTTATCACAAAAG